GTAATCTGAATGAAATTACCTCGATTCTTTGGTGGTGGAGGCACGAAAAGGTACAAATGAAAAAAGAGAAAGAAAAGAGACATAAACACAAGAGTGATTATGCGTTGTCTTTATGCCAGGATTACCTTGCTGACTGGCTTGTTACAGGACAAGCGCTCTGACTTGCTCTTGTAGGGTCAGAAGTCTAATTTAGTCTAATTTCTTGCAACCAGTAGCATTTACTTGTGAGAAACCTGAGCCTGTTCTGGTAACAACATAAAAACAGCACACATTAAACCTTCAACCAGGGCTCTGTATTTTTTTCCATCATATTTTAACCAGTCCATCTAAAGAGCTGAATTCTATAATCACTAGTGTTTGATCATTTAAAGTGCAAAGTGCAAAGCTTAGGTAGGGTTCTAACGCACAGGAGATTTGGGCGGGGGTGGAAGTTACTGGGAACTGAAGTCAGGGCCTTGCGCTTGCCAGGCAGGCACTTGTGCCACCGAGCTAGCTCCCCAGGCCTACAAACAGGAGATTCTGAAATGAGAGCCTTTCCTATGAAGAAGCTACAACTTAAGGGGAAAAAAGTTGATGTTAATGTAGACAACGACTCTTTAAGCACTGCTGGTGAGACTGCAGTGTGGCCGCTGTGGCAGTCAGCGTGGCCACACCTCCCGAAGCACCAGTGATTCTGCTCCGGGGTATGCCCAGAAGACTGAGAACGGACACGCACACAGGAGACTAAAACATTCTCAGCAGCGTTACTCTTAATAGCTAACAACTGGAAACAACTCAAATGCCCATCAACTGGTGAAAGCTAAATAAAATGTGGTGCATCCACGGAATGTATTTTACAGCCGTAAAGGAGACCGACGTATGGTGCTACGCTAGCTCATGGACAGGTAAGTCTTGGAAATAGTGGGGGGTGGGGACAAATGGTCACATATTTAGCGATTCCATTCACACGAGAAAGGTAATCGGGAAGAGACAGAAAAATTAGTGGTTGTCAAGGAGAAGAGGAAAATGAGGAGTGACTACTAATGAAAACAAAATGTTTTGGGGACAATGAAATAGGAATTAGAAGCAGCAAGTTGTTCAAATTTACAAATATATATTAACTTAAAAAAGCTATACGAAATAAAATGGTTGTCATGGTAAACTTTCTCAACTTTTAAAGTGCTTAAATATTGTTAACAGATAAAATTTATGAACATTTTATAGATATGAAAAGAAACTTTTCCTAGGCTTAACATTTTAACGATTGGATCATTGCTGCTTTAAAAAACTACTCATGATATCCTAGTTTCATCTTCAGGTTTTAACAGGAATGTAAAAGTTTACATTTTAAAACTTCCCCAAACAAAACAGTGGTAAGGCTGTATCAGTTTCCTTATCCACAATGGGTATGTCCAAAATCACTAGAAGAGACCAGAAAACCAAGAACAGTACAGATCTCTCTACATACTTCGAGCATCTCTAATCCAAAAATCTTAAATGCTCTAAAATCAGAAACTTCTTGAACAATTAATAGGTGGAACGTCCTGCACTGGACCTAATGTGATAAGCTGCAGTAGGCCAGTGCACCAAAACTGTCATAAAAATTGTCTTCTGGCTGTATCACGTCTACATAAGTGAAAAAATTCTAGGAGTAAATCTAACCAAGGAAGTTAACAGTTACTACAATAAAAATTACAAAACAGACAGTGATGAAGAAATTAAAGACATAAAAAAGGAAAGATATCTCATGTTCAGGGATGGAAAGAACACTGGTAAAATGGCCATACTATTCAAAATGATTCAAAGCAATTTGTATCAAAATATCAGTGACATTCTTCATAGAATTACAAAAGCATTCTTTACACAAGTAGTAGAAAAAACCCACATACCGTGGAATCACAAAGTACCTCAGCCAAAGCAATCCCAAACAAGAGGAGCAAAGCTGAAGGCTTTACATAACTGACCTAAAACACGTAACAAAGCTACGGTAACCCAAACAGCCATGGACCTGGCATAAAAACACACAGACCAACTGAGAACACTGAATACAGAAATAAATGTATATATTTACAGCTAACTGATTTTGCACAAGGCCAGAAAGCAAGCACATACACTGGAGAAAGAACAATCTCTTCACTAAAGGTACCAGGGCAACTGGGTACCCAAACGTAGAAGAAATTACACAGCTATCTCTCAGTACAGAACGATCAAGTCAAAAGGGATAAAGGATTTAAGTTTACAACCCAAAATTTTAAAACTACAAAAGAAAATGTAGGGGAAACTCTTCAGGACATGGGTCTGAGCAGTTTTTTTCTATATTACCCTTAAGGAGCAAGCAACAAAAGCAAAAATTAATAAGTGAGATTACATCACACTGAAAAGCCTCTGCACAGCAAAGAAACGGTGAAGAGACACGCTTCAGAATGAAAGACATTTCTGTGTTTGCACACTATTCAGCCAGCAGGGAACGGTCCATGTCCAGAATGTGTAAGGTACTTAAAAGACTAAGCATTAAAGTAACTAACTAAATCAATTTAAAGGCGGGCAAACATGCCCGGTATGGTGGCACATAGCTATAATTCCTGCTTCTCAGGAGCCTGAGGCAAGGGATTTCATACTCAAGGGCAGCCTGGGAGACCCCCACCTCAAAAAGGCGGTGGGGGCTGTGAATACAGCTCAACGTGCAGGTTCTAGGTTCAATCGCAGGTGTCAGGGGAAAGAGGAAGGCACATGACCTGAACAGACATGTTCTCAAACATGTACACATTTTTTAAATTAAATTTTATAAAAAGATACACAAATGTGAAACAGGTAAAAATGTTCAACATCACCAATCAAGGAAATTCACATTAAAACCACAGTGGCAAATCTTCTCACACCAGTCAGAAAGGCTATTATCAAAAAGATAAGAAATAAATGTAACACTGAAGTACATATTGCACATGGTAGAGTGCATGTCTAGTGTGCTTAAGAAGCCCTGTCAATTCCTAGCATCAAACAGAAAAGCACCAGTAAGGATGCGCAGAAACAGGAACTCTCATACACTATCATTAGGCATTGTTGTGGTTTGGGGTTTTTGTAAAGGAAACAATATACTACAGGACACATTTTATAATAGTATTTATAGTGACTCACCCCCGAATCATATACCAGTGCAGGAAATCTATGCACACACTAAATACTAAAGAATCCAGCTGAAGGCCTGGATCTCAATACCCTGCATGAGTCGGGCTGGAAACCTAGAGCCCATAACAATGCCTCCCGCAGGCCCAACTGGAGGCCTGGAGTCCACAACAGTGTCTCATGCAGGTTCGCTTCATGGATCTGTGCTGGGAAGGCTCAAAGGTCAGCGGCGGAAGCTGGGCAGTCTGTGCCAGCGGGATGCACGATCTGTTCTCGCAGGCTGAGGGATCTGCACTGGAGCTAGGAAACAAAGCTCAAGGGAAGCACCAGAGCTCGCCCAAAGTACCACAGCCATCCTCAGCAACAGTGAGGTCCCTAGCTCCTCTAGCAATGAGGAAAACCAAGTTTCCACCAGGAAAGCCAACGCGACAAGCTTCACAAGGCTGAGCAGTGTACCATCTTCCTCTCCAGCCAGGAAGCGACGCTCAAGATGAGGACCCAGCATGACAAGGTCCTCCAGCAAAACAGCCTAAGAGAACTAACAGCCTCCAACAGCTGTACCAGCTTCTCCAAACAGCATCCCTAACAGAGTTTCGGCAGCTTCTCCTGTTCTGCCTCTATGCTGCTGGCAATACTCTGGTGGGCCTCCCGTACCCAGCACCACGCTAGTTTAATTCAGCTGGCTG